CCCTGTATTTCATGTCCAGAGGTATTTCTCAATTATTTAGTCCTGATGATGCAGCAGAAATGGGGTAAATACTGTTGATTAATTAACATTTATCCAGTAACCATTCATCCCAGTTTTAGGAGCGTTTGCAGAGAAAGTACAGATATTGCAAAATTTCAGGTAGTCAGCAGCTGTTCTTCCTACCAAGCAATGAATACACCGTAAACCAAGCTTTTTTCTTGCAGACATAACCCATGCTTTTAATTCCGGGAAAGGGTGAGCGGGTTACAGAACAAAAGACTTGGGGCCACTATAGCTGATTGCTTCAGACAGCGTCTTGCTGCCCAGTGTAGAGGAAAGAGAGAAGACAGGACACAGTTGGTCTCAAGAGACAGCCCAAATCTATGTCAGATATTGCAGGTCATAACAACTGTGAAATCTGCCTGGGCTTTTGTTTCATGCTAAATGTAATCATCTTTATGGTGCTAGATGAAGGAATTACTGGATCAGAATCAGTGATGTTATGCAGGCATTTGGAATAGCAAAATGTTTCTCTTCCTTTGCAAACTGGTGTTCTTAACATTGAAATAACATTTTTCATGATTTCCTGAGTTGACTGCTTACATAGAAAGCCTGTGCGGGGGATGGGGGTCTGCGTATCTGTGGATTTTAGACAGAAAATCCTTGTGCTCCGAGGAGACCAGCATGCGGGCAGTTAGAGTGAGGTTTTCTTCTGTTAGATGACAGTATGTTTTCCACTGCTTCTTAACCATGTTTGATTACTCTTTAACTTTTGTAAGAAGTAAGACTGAGATATCGTACTGTTCTGTATTGGCTGTTCCATGACTGGAGTCCTGAAGCCCATTTTAAATGTGATATCGATGTTGCCATGAATAGAAAACTCTTCTAGGAAGTGAATGCCACTCCTCATCAGAATCTATCCAGCAAATGTACTATCAGTTTTTGTTTCTCAATGGCATAACTGGAATTGCCACATCTTGCACTTGTGCATTCAGAAACTATTTGCCTAGAAATGTATGTTTGTAGGTAACAATAAAAGTTTTAGGGGACAGTCCCTCTACAGCTGCCAGATATAATGGGAATGTTAATGTGAAAACAAGTTGATCAGTCAGCTACAGAGAGATATGTGTTCTTTTCTGAGGGTTGGATTATTATAGTTCAGGAACGCCAGTTCTAGATCAGTCATAGTTAGAGAAGGAGGCAGCTATCTGGCAATCCGCTGGGAATAACATTACTCCTTTAGCTGGCTTTATCCTTAGAACTCTTGTGGTGTAAGTCAATGATTTTAATTATGCTGTCATATTTTTTTATAATTGAAAGAGGGAGTAGCTGTGCTAGGCCACCCTGCCACCCTCACTAAATCCAGTACCTCCTGTTCTTTAATCTGTTTAAGGTGAGGTCATGTTTATAAAACTGCCCTCTAGCTCTGAATCATAGAACCATAGAATGGTTTTGATTGGAATGGACCTTAAGGTCATCTAATTCCACCCCCCCTGCCATGGGCAGGGATGTCTCGCACTAGACAATGTCACCCAAAGCTCTGTCCATCCTGGCCTTGAACACAGCCAGAGATGGAGCATTCACTGGTTCTTTGGGCAACCTGTTCCAGTGCCTCACCACCTTCACAGTAAAGAGCTTCTTCCTTATATCCAATCTAAACTTCCCCTGTTTAAGTTTTAACCCATTACCCCTTGTCCTGTCGCTGCCATCCCTGATGAAGAGTCCTTCTTCGGCATCCTTGTAGGCCCCCTTCAGATACTGGAAGGCTGCTATGAGGTCTCCACACAGCTTTCTCTTCTCCAGGCTGAACAGCCCCAACTTTCTCAGCCTATCTTCATACGGGAGGTGCTCCAGTCCCCTGATCATCCTCGTGCCCCTCCTCTGGACTTGTTCCAACAGTTGCATGTCCTTTTTATGTTGAGGACACCAGAACTGCACACAATACTCAAAGTGAGGTGTCACAAGAGCAGAGTTGAGTGGCAGGATCACCTCCTTTGACCTGCTGGTCATGCTCCTTTTGATGCAGCCCAAGATACGGTTGGCTTTCTGTTGAGCAGGATCCATCCCAGAACCAATCCCTGAGGGACACCACTCGTTATCCATCTGCACTTGGACATTGAGCCATTGACTACAATGCTGTGTGCGGCCATCCGGCCAATTCTTTATCCACGAGGTAGTCCATCCATCGAATTTACGTCACCCCAATTTAGAGACAAGGATGTCCGGTGGGACAGTGTTGAATGCTTTGCACAAGTCCAGGTAGATGACATCAACTGCTCTACCCCTGTCCATCAGTTCCATAGCCCCATCATAGAAGGCCACCAAATTGGTCAGGCAGCATTTCCCCTTAGCGAAGCCATGCTGGCTGTCACCAAGCACCTCATTGTTTTGCATGTTGCCCTAGCATGCCTTCCAGGAGAATCTGCTCCAAGATTTTGCCAGGCACAGAGGTGAGACTGACTGGTCTGTAGTTCCCTGGGTCTTCCATTTTCCCCTTCTTGAAAATGGGGATTATATTTCCCTTTTTCCAGTCATTGGGAACTTCGCCTGACTGCCATGATTTTTGTAATATGATGGGCAGTGGATTAGCAAATTCATCCACCAGCTCCTTCAGGACCCGCAGATGGATTTCATCAGGTCCCATGTACTTGTGTACATTCAGCTTCCTAAGTTGATCTTGAACCTGATCCTTTCCTGCAGTGGGCTTGAGGTCTTCATTCTCCCAGTCCCTGCATTTATCGTTGAAGACTTGAGTGGCGTGGTCAGAGCACTTGCCAGTGAAGTCTGAGGCAAAGAAGTCATTGAGAACCTCAGCCTTCTCCAAATCCAGGGTAGCCAGTTCTCCCATTTCCTTCCAGCAAGGGCCCACATTATCCCTAGTCTAGGTATATCTGTTCTTCGTGACATACCCATAGAAGCCTTTCCTGTTATATTTGACATCTCTGGGCTGACAGTTCTAACTGGGCCTTAGCTTTCCTGACCTGATCCTTAGCTTACCAGACAAGGTCCATGTATTCTTCTCAGGTCACCTGTACTTGCTTCCACCTCCTATAAGCTTCTTTCGTTATGAGTTTTCTCAGCAGTTCCTTATCCATCCATGGAGGACTCCTGACCTTCTTGCCCAATTTCCTTCCTGTTGGGAAACAACACTTCTGAGCTTGGAGCAGATGATCTTTGAATATCAGCCAGCATTCTTGGCCCCGTCTGCTTTCTAGGGCTTTATCCCATGGAACCTTACTGAGCAGGTTCCCAAAGAGACCGAATCTGCTCTCTTGAAGACCAGGGCCATAAGTGAGCTTGCTGCATGCCCTTCTCACTGTCCTGAGGGTCTTGAACTCCAGGATCTACGAGTTAAAGCTGACATCTCTCAGCTGGGGAGGAATTTGCTCTTCCATGCAAATGCGCTTGTCTGTGCATGGAGGTCTGACCTGTCCTTTGCTCCAGTAATTTTTGTGGGTAGTGCAGTAGCTGCTCTGTAGGTGCAGTTCTCTTGCTCTGTTCTAGGATCTGTTGTGCATAAAGCCTGCTGGTGGCTGGGAAGCAATAATTTAGGTTCCTTCTGTTGCCAGATATCAGTGTTGTGAACACTAATACCTTGTTTCCTCTGGTCTAATGTGGAAAATAATGCACTGGGAGCTATAGGGGATGGACATTAATATTGCATGAATCCTTTTAACTTATGAACAGGAACATTGGCAGGATAGTGGGAAGTGGGCAGAAGAAGGATGACTCTCCCTTGTAAAGACTAAGCTGCCAAGAGTTAAAGTGGTTACAAAACACCAGTGGTCTAGATTTGGCAAGAGCTGTGTTCTGCCCATCGCACTGAGCTCTTTATTCCACATGAATAAGTTTCATAGAAACTGAGGGGGCTGCTGTGGAACTGAATTCTGCACAACAAACTTGGGTTCAGTAATTAAGTCTCAGACTTTGTGCTGCAAAAAAATGTTTTAGTCATGAATAAAAAAGAGGAAGAATAATTTACAAGAGACACTGATGGGTTGGCTGGTGGTATTTGTAGGATGTGATTCAAACCCACTTAATATCAATGGCTATCTTCCTGTTAACTTCAGTGGAGCTGACCTACAGGGGGCTTTGTTATGGTTCATCCTTATTAGTTTGGTGTGGTAGTTCCTAAGGGTGTGCATAGGATGGCTGTCCTCTATTGTACACTCACAAAGGAGGCCATTTGAGCAACAGAAAGCTTATGTTCTAAAGAGAGAAGGCACAAAAGCAGAGCAACAGAGCATTATACCCTCCTGCTGACTGGGAAGGGGCAACAAGAGAGGGAGGGGAAAATGAAAAGCTTGTGTCTTGGTATAGAATGAAAGAGGTGGCAAAAGAAAGAGTCCATCAGTGCTGATATTCCCATGTGACAGTTTGTGAGTGGTTGGTTTTGGCAGTTGCTGGCCGGTTCTTGTTGTCTATGTGTCCCAGACTCGCTGCATTTGCACTCAGATAACCTGTGTGTGGTCTCAGCAGAACCAGTTAACTGAGGGCCTAAGCATCTGATCCTGATCTCACCAGCTTTAAAGGTTTATATACCTTTAAGTTAAGCATGTGCTGAATTGCTTTGCTAGTCTGGTATTAGGTGCTCAGTACATGCGCCTGGAAGGGCATAGGGAGAGTTTGCACTGACTAGACTCTGGGAAGAAACATTAAGTGTTTGTGATTGGTGCAGCCAATCTGGAATATACCACGAACACCAGATTAATCTCATTTGAAAGCTTTGAATTAAATCTGTTTACTGTAGTGGAGCCTCCCACAGTTCTCCACCTTCTTTTTGTGTCCTGGCATATTTTCATTTGGGAAAGCTGCAGTGTCTGTGTCTTCTCTGTGCTCGACTGAATTGTGATACTGCTAAATTTTTTGGTATTATTGTTAAAAAGGAAACCCACGACATCATTAGGTTTTCTCCCCTGCTCCTTTACATTGCCTTGAATTCATTCCTGCTTAGGTCTTAACCAAAACCTACTTACTTTTCCTGTTTCTTATCCTTTCAGCTTCTTCAAATGCAATGACTCAGCAGCTACAGGATGAATTTGACAGTAGTGTGGAGAATGCAGAAGCGTGGATGAAGGCCATCCAAGAGAGACTGAGTATCAATGACAACACCAAGGGACCTCGATCTGCCCTAGAAGCCAGATTGAGAGAGACTGAGGTAAGGGAAGAGTGATGTAGTGTTTCAGAGGAGGCTGTCACTGCTACTGTTGTTACAGCATTTATTGCTGTGAACTCTGTGTTAGCTGGAAAACTGTTAGCTGCCCCTGCTTGCTAGAATATTTGTCCTGTGTGGATGGGTTTACATCTGTATTAACCCTAATTTTTCCATCTGCAAAATGTTTACAGGCATCGTAGAAAAAGAGGATGACAATTTGATATCACAGGCTTCCAAGCTTTTCAGATTGATTTGGAAAACTAGCAGCAGGTTTGGCAGGTTAAAATGTTTACACTATCCTATGATCATGCTTAAATCTGAAACAGCTGTGTTGCTGCTTGCAATTACGAGTGATTTGCAGAAGTCCAGCATATAGTCTGAGATAATTAGATCATGTTAGTGTTCCATCTCCTCCAGGACTCTGGCACTGATGGAGGAAGATTGCAGTGTCCTGGTAATGGGCAGTTCTAGAGTAATCCCCCTGTCTTTTTCCATAAACCCTGATGATTAAAGGGGTTACAGGTCCCCTTAATAATCTGTCTAATGAAAAGGTAAATGTTTTCTTTTTTTTTTTGATTTTACTTAGACTCTTGTATAACTCTTCTCATAGAGATCCCATTGCAGATTGTGCCTGCTTTCTTACTGTGACTTCACATTCATTAACTTCAGTTTCATTAGATGTTATCTTGGTCTCATAATCTCAGAGAAGGAAACAATCTTGTTTGTCCCATCTTAACCATTCATGAGGGAGTGGTGGTGATATGTCTGTGATTAACATTGAAACTATTTTTATACTTGTATTACCTTTAATTCAAACTAGTATGTTCTTTACAATAAATGGCAAATCTTTCTCATCATTACCCTGAAGTCTTTCTTTTTGTGTGTCGTCTCGTGTTTGAACTCTCTCTTCTGAGGTTTAAAAACTCCAGAAAGATCCACATTGGAGGCTTACATGTCTTCAGCCTTTTTCCTTAAGTGCGGCTCATTGAACACTGGATCTTGCCTCTCTCATAATGTAGAGACTTGTAGGTGTGATGGATGATGGCTAGACTTGCATGTCAGTTATAAAAAATCTGAAGTATTTCCTCTTGGTCTGTAGATTTATTTCTGCTCTTAAATGATTTTCACTCACTTCTTCTGTCTGGGAAACTGATATTTGCAGTCTCAAAAAATATGCAAGAAACACAGAAACTTGAGTAGGAGAGTGGTAGTTTGGCAAAAGGGGTGCATTCATGGCAGAGAGAACAAGGTGTAAGGTTTTGAGGTCTGTGGTGATTTTAATATGGCCTGAACTGAAGCCTGTTGACTTCCGTGGGCTTTGGAGGAGGCCTTAAACATGCAAAAAATCATGTTAGAAGATTGTTTTCAATTCAGACTTCAGGAATTCATAATTCTAAAGAGTAGCAAGTGTCCTCTCTTCCTGTCTTTACCTTATCTGCTTCCAGCTCCCTCATCCTGCCTCCTTTCTGGGCCTGGCTTCCCTGTCCAGCTCACATGTCCTCATGATGTGCTTGCTGCTTTGCCTATTGGCTGTTTTCAAATGTAGCGATTTTTACCATTTTTACATCTGGTTTGCTTTTTCTCTTTTTTTTCTTTTTTTTAATGCTTCCTTCCTGTGGTTTATTTTCTGTTAATTCATTGATGAAATGCCAGCCAAAGATAGCAGTCATTTAAGAAACAGATTTGAAAAGTGTACAGCCACTGCTTTCTCTCTGGCTGATATTTGCTTTAACCTGTTGGAAAAATATCAAGCTTGGAATACAGCTCTACTCCTAAATTTTTCCTGTCAGGTGATAGCCATGGCATTTATTTTTGTTCTCTTCCCTACCCTTTGCCCTGCTTTTCTGGATTCTTTTAATCACACTTTTCATAGTAGATAGTTCATCCAGATACTGGTTTGAGTATCACATGCAGATGTGCTGTGTACATGCCAGAAGAACAGTTTTTTTCCTAGAATGTGAAACTGGAAATCAAAGGCCTGTGATTTGGTCTGAGCTTTGCAATAACCGTCATGATCTTTTTGAACAAATCCCATAGGCCTAATCTTTCCAAAACCTGCTGATTTTGAACCTCTCAGTGTTCTAATTATAGAAGTCTTTTCCTTCAAACTTGAAAGTACAGCTTGCCAGGAGTTTGTGAAAGAGGAGCAAAAAAAGGTAATCTGATCATATTAGAAGTTTGGATAAAGTGATGCTGAAAACTGACATCCAAATTGGGACCTGATTAATCTGTTGCATTGTACAGAGCTTGTGCTAATTTTCCATCTCTGGGTAGAGGAGAAGAGTGTACGTAAAATTAGATGGATTAACTTTCAGTTCCTGGCATTCCAGTTGATGTAAGATACATGTTTTCACCAATTCATAACTTAGCAATTTAGGGTCAATGCAAAATTTGGTAGCAGGCAGAAAATTCCACTACTTAATTTCTCTTGGCTTGTTTTCTGAGCCAACTTCTATTTGCAGTAGGAAGCCTTTTTAATGTTTCATGATTTTTATAGGAGACTTTAAAACTGAGATGATGCAGTGTGCCCCTGTGGAGATTGCTTCTACGTTCTGGCAGGTGGGAGAGAACAACTGACATGAGGCAACATAGTGCTATAACGCTGTAACAACAATGGAAATACAGCCACAAATATTTGATAGACAGTGACCTGGGTTTTGCAGTTAAATATTTTTCAACTGCTACATGGTTTTAAATTAATTTCAGTCCTTTATGATGCTTAAGAATAAACAAATCTGAAGAAAAGTTCATACTTTCAGGAGTTTTGCAGCAGAGACTTCAGGATTCCTGGGTAAACCCAAAGTTTAAGTTTCGTCAGTTTATACTTGCTTTCTTTTCATGCTTTCAGTCCTGTTTGTTTTTCTTATAGAAAATACGTGCACTGGAACCTGAAGGCAGCTTGAAAATTGACTTGATTCTTGTGAAGGCAGATGCTGCCCTTCACAGGATCAGTGAGGATAAGAAGCATGAGATACTGTCTAAACTGAAAGACATTAAAGCTTTGTGGGAAGAGACAGCCATATATATTACTCACTGTCACAGGTAAGACAAACGTACTTTCTGTTATATTGAGGGACTTGTCTCATCCAGCACTTTCATAACGTGCTTCCCGTCTCTCTCTGATGCCTGGATTGTAGATGGCAATCACTGCTAATCCCAGTCCCACAAGCATGTTGTGGAACGGTGTGGGAAGAGAGGGTCAGTGGGTCCTCAGTGCTCTCTGCTTTCACAGCCCAGTCCACCTTGTGGCCGGGAATGATGAGTTTGGCCAGGCACAGAGGCCCTGTACAGCATATTTTCTCCACAGAGCAGAGAGGCCCTGAGAAATGAATTTGGACCCTCTGAGGTCAGAGCAGCTTAAAATTGCTGAGAACCGTGTCCTTTGCTCTGAAGGCTTGATGAGTTTGCCAATCTCAACTGCGCCCATCATAATTTCATCTAACTCATCTCTCTTGCTGTTCCCAACAGCCGTATTGAGTGGGTGTGGCTGCACTGGAATGAATACCTGAAAGCCCAAGATGAGTTTTACACATGGATTCACAACATGAGTGTGACCTTGGAGCCTGACATTGAGTTGCAGCTTGGCTTAAAGGAGAAGCAGTGGCAGCTGAGCCACGCTCAGGTTCTGCTGAATGATGTCTTAAATCAGTCAGTCCTGCTGGAAAGACTGCTAGAGGAAGCTGCTTCCTTGTTCAGCAGGATAGGTGACTCCAGTGTTGATGAGGATGTTCAGAAGAAAATGAAGATGGAATATGAAAAAATCAGGGAGCAAGCTGAGGTACACCTATAAAGCGTGGGAGGTGTTCAGTTTTCACCAATACACAGTATTGTTTGCTGTCTGCTTCTTGAGTGATGTGGCTAACCTGGTAGGACTGCAAAAAGAAACAGAACTGAGCACCCCTGTTCTTTTAGTCAGTGGACTGTTTGCAAAAGTCATCATGTCCCAAGATAACCTTTTAATTGTGATGCTGTTACACTGTGCTTTATAGTAATATTGTTGTAAAGTAACTGCAAGCTTCTTGCTTTGACCTAGTGAATATCAGTTAGGTAATCTGTATAAATTTTGAATTGTTCCTCATCTTTCAACACGTTAGTGAATTTTTGTATAACCAGATGAAAAGTACCCATTCCCGGAGCCAGGGAATATTGCATGCACACACCCTTGTTGGAGGAAGTAGCGTTAGTCCAGATCCTGAGTTGCACTCCCTGTCTGCAGAACTGGGAAACACTGAGCTGGTAATCAGCTGTGGCTCAACACTGAGCTCAACTAGCCAGTTCTAATAATCTGAAAGATTTTCATTGCACACAGATACTAATTCTTGCCTGATGCTAACCTTCCAGCTTGAACAGTTATTAGATACCCTGGTGTAAGACATCCTGGTTCATATTTCAGTGCCAGTGATTTCCTTTAACCCTGTTGCTGGGCAAAGATTCACGGTAAGGCTCATACTTTTCACTTCTAAAACTTGGGTAAAGACAGGATTGGACCACGTGGCATGGCTGAGGAGCAGATATTTGTGAGTGAGGGGTATTTGGTTTTCTACTAGCTTATATCAATAGAAATCTTCAAAAGGATATCTGAAATAGATAGAGACAGCTATCCCAAGCATTTGGAGATCAAAATCTAGTCTTTGTCTCACAGTGACTTCCAGGAATTCCATAGGCTGGAATTACCTGGTGCAAATACAGGTAATTTTCATTACATTGGTTCTGCTATCTGCCTGTCATAATGTTGCTTTTTATTTGTTCCCAAACCTACACCCCGGTCCAGAACTGAAACCTGACAGTGATGTATGCTTTCCCCCCCTGGGTGCTGTTGTACAAAGTTAGCTTCAGATAACACTGTAAGAGCACCATATTGGGATGCTCGTGCCATTGCTTTGCTTACTCTACACATACTTTTAAAGTAAAATAGCCTGAACCCCAAAACAGTGAAAAACCTCCTGAGCTGGCACCTTCTGTGAGCATGAAATTCAGGTATTTTTTAGCCATAAAGATAAAACTCTTAGTAAGTCTCTCCAAAAACCAGAGTATGTTTGGAAATGCTGTAACTGCGCAGAAAGGCTGTAAAACCACTGACAGACCTGAGCCCCAATGCTGATTTAGTTTTAAAGGTAGATCTCTTGATTACAAGGCAACTGGATTTACAAATAAGAAAGTTCCTGGGAATTCAGGTGGTGTTTATCTAGATTGCCATTTAAAATTCTCATTTACTCCCTTCTAATCAGGATTTGTCTTTGGTTTTGAAGCAGGAGACAGTCCTTAAGTAGTTTAATAAGCCTGTTCTTTCAAACAAGTCATTTGAATACTGAGAGCCAGAATGTGACCTCTTTGAGACTGGTTTTATGTAGTATAATTTCTCTAACTGACTTGGATACATGCTGGTGTAAATAAGATCAGGAAGTGGCTCATAGTGCTTAGACAAAATATGTCTTTATGTCTCCTGCTAACTGAGACACTAGGAAAAGCTTTTCTTTGGCATTGGTTACAAATACCACATTTCATAGAAGAATTGAGTGAGAGAATCTAGCTAAGAAATCCCTCTTTCAGGAGGTATGGAACAAAGAGTTGGAAAGCCTTGGATTTTGCAGCTGAAGTAGATGTAGAGTTCATTAGCTAATGCCAAGGTTATGGGCACCTTGGGAATCATGTTGGAAAGCATAACACTTGTTAGAGAAACCCTGCTACCTCTTCCAACAGGAGGGAGGAATGAATGGAAGAGAAAAAAGAGTTGTAAGGGGGTTGTTCAGGCCACATGATGAGAGGCCAGGCTAAATGTGACTAGCAGATGCCAGCTAAATGCCTGAGTTCCCTCCCAGAGGAGGCTCACTGGTGTTTGTAGACCGCACTTCTGTTTGAAGAGCGTTTTTAGATCCTGTGCAGTTGTCCAGCTCTATCAAAAGGCAGGCTCTTGGACAGTGTTTCTTGAATGGTTTGCCTGTGGCATTACTTCTCTGGTATGAGCAAATGGTGGAGGCTGTTTTTTTTTCCTTAGTGCTAACATGTGTCCTTATCATTCCCAAATTTTAAAAGCACATAATTTGCTTTTAATTACATTGACAAGAATATTAAATGTGGAAGCCATTTCCTGTGTGCTTTCCCTTGCCTAGTAAAATAACAGTATGCAGAGGTAGATGGTTGTGGGTTTTAGCATAAATAGTAACTGAAGATGGTAAGAAAAGTTATGATATACCATATGTTCATATTTAGTCAAATATATCAAATATGTCTGAGCACAACAAATGAATTTCAGTCTGTGTTGTCTCTTAACTGAAACCTAGATATTTATAATGCCAACCCTCATGTACCCTAGAGCTAAGATTAAAAGCACCAGAAAGTACTACAGGAGATTTCTGAGTACCGAAGTGCTCTGCTTTCATAGAATCATAGAATAGTTAGGGTTGGAAAGGACCTTAAGATCATCTAGTTCTAACCCCCCTGCCATGGGCAGGGACACTTCACACTAAACCATGTCACCCAGGGCTCTGTCCAGCCCAGCCTTGAACACCACCAGGGATGGGGCATTCACAGGGATGGGCAACCCATTCCAGTGCCTCACCAGCTTTTACAGTAAAGAACTTCTTCCTTATATCCAATCTAAACTTACCCTGTGTACGTTTTAACCCATTACCCCTTGTCCTTTCACTACAGTCCCTAATGAAGAGTCCCTTTCCAGCATCCTTATAACCCCCCTTCAGATACTGGAAGGCTGCTATGAGGCCTCCACACAGCCTTCTCTTCTCCAGGTGGAACAGCCCCAACTTTCTCAACCTGTCTTCATACTGGAGGTGCTCCATTCCCCTGATCATCCTCATGGCCTTCCTCTGGACTTGTCCCAGAGTACAGGAGATTTCTGAGAGGACAGAAGTGCTTTGCTTTAGATGCCACAGATGAATTTGGAGCAGGAACTTCCTTTACATTCTCTAGATTGCCTTCCAACAGAGGCTTGTTTGGCTTTAAGGGAGATGTTAGGGGAGACTGTTTCCTCTGCCTCTGTCCACCCTCCTTGAGTACCCTGGGCTGGACATATCCTGCCCAGACACACCTCTTTCTCTGCAGCTCACGGCAAACCCATTAATTTCCTGTCACTGCTCTGTCTTTCCAGGGCCATGTGCTTGCTTAATGTCTCCTCACGTTAACTAAATGCATGTGAGAGTGAGTTTAACGCTGTCCTGCTCCCTGATCAGCAAATCTAACAGAAGTGATACTGTATTTTCCATCATTAGAAAGTTTCCCTGCCTAACCTCTTGGGGGAGCTGGTGGGACCCAGACAGCTCTTTGTAAGCCTGTTTTTTTGACAGCTAGCGCAGTCTGTCTAGATCCATGGCATCTCTTCCTTCGCCTCACAGACCAGCAGCAGTGTCCAAACTGTGCACTCCTTTGTTTTGGCTGAGTAGCCTGGGCAGGGGTGAGTCATTTCGACTTCCTTTTTAACCGTTCATTTATTAATGTAAGACTTTCGAGTTTAGCTCCACTTTGTTATCCTGACCTCCTCCCTTTGGAGCTTCTGTCAGTGCAACAAATCAACCTGATTACTTGGAATGCATAAGCTTGGACTGACTTGTTTCACTTCTCTGCCCATTTACACTGCTATAAAATTGCATTCTTCTCTGTTTGGCCCATTTACACTGCTATAAAATTGACCTCCCTAGCATGAGGTCAAGGTGCAGATTGTTTAACCTGTATGCACTTCTGCAGATTTGAGAATCAAGGCAAAGGGATGTAGCAAACATGTGAGGTGTTTTGCTATATGCATCTTAGCCACAGAAGTCTGCAGTCATAATTCTGCTTTTTGGTCTCATCTAAACCCATGTTTGCATAAATGGTGCTATTAAAGGTTCTAATAAGTGGGCAGTATTTCATCCTTCATGGGAATCAGTTGTCCCTTAGCTGTCCCTCTTTTGTACCAAGGCAAGTCAACTAACTTTAAGGGAGTTACTCTGGATTTGTACCAGTCAGTGGAGATTGCAGTGGCAGTGTGGAAAACAGGCTGGTATTATGCCACGCATTTGTGGCTTTGTACTGCACCACAGGCATAACGTGTCACAAAGAGGAAGGGCAAAGTCCCATATGGACTGCCACGCCACAGCACATGGGAGATCCCATGGTGACTGATGTTCATGCTGCCTTTCTATTGGCCTGGATGAAGAGACAGAATGGCAATAGTCCACTGCCACCTAAGGAGGGTTGACAGATGTGATGACATGCCCAGAGCCTCACAGAGACAAGGGAAATGCAGAGTGGGCTTGAAATTCTGTCCACCATTGCATCACCCTGCTCTCTGTGGAGGGCAGCTAGAGTGAAGCTCAGAGGCATGGGATGTGTCCCATATTATGCAAAATGAAACTCAGCCTGTTGTGTGTAACAGCAAAGCCTTTCAGGAATGCTGCAAGCACTAAATGGATAGCACAAGGAACAATTTTTTACTATTGTACCATAGTGTACCTCAGTTGCTCTCCATGCCAACTGGTGAAGGGCAAGAAAAAATTATTCTGGTTTCATAGGAAGTAATATTCAGGTTAGATATTATACTAGTGAAACAATAGAGCAGGAATATCTGTGATTTGTGTAAAATTTTCTTCAGCAAGACCTAAGCTTCAGCTGACAAACAGGGATAGCCTAGGTAAATGTGACTCTTGTCTTGTTGCAAGGATGCCAGAGCAGATCAGCAGAGAGCAACTCAGCCCCTGTAACTTCAGGAATTGTTGGTTAAAGGGTGCACACTCAGTAACTCAGAAAATGAAACTTGCTTCCCATAGGCTTAAAGTTGCTTCCAGGGCCTGTGATATCATCACAGGATAGTTTGTAATCTGCTAGTTGAACAAGTATGAAAGTTCCCAGTCTACATAAAAGTAGATGGTCACTTTCTGTAGAGCCTACTTAAATAAAGAACACTTTAAAACAATGTGTACACATGCCCCTAGTAGAGTCTCTCTTATTTTCATTTTGAGAGATGGGCAAAGTAAGTCTGTTGTGTGCTCATCTTTATTTTTAACCAGTATGGGGAACAACTGCTTGGTAAAAGTAAAAAAGTAAGTAAAAAATAAGGTAAAAACCAGAAACTGATTTCTCTCTCTTTTCTTTTTCTAGTGAGATGCTAGGAAATTTTGGAAAGGAGAGTTTAGAAATTCACCTGAGAGGACCTTGCAATTTGTCTTATTGGAGACTAGCCATTGAAAGCCTACAGCATGACCCAAATGGGGACAAGCTTTTACATACTTTTGTGTTCTGTTTCTTGAGATGAATTCTGAATTCTTCTGGAGGCCGAGTGCTGTCGGGGCTTATGGAAGGGGACTCTTGTTTATAGATTCTGTGTTACAATGTAAAGGAAAAAGAGCCAGATAATCACTGTCCTTACAGCTTGTGATGTGTCTTGTTACAGAACAGAGTGAACCTGCTTAAAAAGATAACCAAGGAACATGAGCAGTACAACGCTAATGTCAACTGGTTTCAATCATGGCTGAATGGTGTGACGGAAAGATTAAACTCCTGCATTGGAGAAGCAACCGAGTATTCGGCAGAGGACAAGTTAAAGGCACTGAAGGTCCTTAAAAGTATAATTCTAACAAGGAGCTAGGATTGTGTGTTCTTTCTTTATGCCCTTATATGTTTCTCAAACCACACAAGAGTGTACTTGAGAAAAGAATTCATTCATTCATTCATGGCTTGACTTCGCGAACGAAGATTTGAGAAGGGCTTTACCCACTGTCGTGGTTTAAACCCAGTCAGGTAACTTGTTCACTCACTCCCAGTGAGTGGTGCCGAGCTGACAACAATCGAGGTCCGTGTCCGTCTCCCCCCCCCCCCCCCCGCACCGGGGCTCTCCCCTTCCCCGCTCCCGGAGGAACGGGGAGGAGGATCGAGAGAGTGCAACTCCTACGGGTTGAGACAAGAACAGTCCAGCAACAAATCACCACCGCTACTATCAGCTAAAACAATGATAAGGGAAAATAACAAGGGAACAGAATACGATACCACCGGCCAAGAAAGCGAGTTCCACTCGGAAGCCCGTGTCCTTCCGGGTAACTCCCAGTTACCCCCCCACCCCGGGCATAACGTGCTGTGGTATGGAATACCTCCCCGGCTAGCCCGGGTCAGGCGCCCCGTCTCTGCTTCCTCACAGCTTACCCCCTCACAGACTCCTTGGTCAGGGTAAACATCACTTAGCAACAACCGAAAACATCGGCTTCACCAACACTGTTCTCAAGCTAGAAGTCAAAACACAGCACTGCACCAGTTAACACAAAGGAAAAACATGACTGCTACTGCTGAACCCAGGACACCCACGCTTACTACAAGCGCGCTGGTGACTAAAAAGGCCAATGTGAGATAGGCAAATCCAGCTGCAAAAAGCACAGTAAAAGGTCTCCTTGGGTGATATAGGCGGGGCACGATTTTTCTATGTTGTCTTTTCTCCTTGAGACTAGTTCTGCGTGAGTTCTCAAAGGAGTCAACGGTATTATGTATGGTGTGTCTCCAAGGCTCCCAATTGGAGGCCAAGGTGGACCACTGATGGTAGTCAATATGGCCAAGGATAAGGTATTGTTTCAGGGAGTCCTTATATCTCCTCTTTGGGGCACTTCTCTTGTGGCAGCTGGTGGCAATTTCACCGTAAAACACCATCTTAGGGAGGCGGTGATCCTTCATCCTAGAGACGTGCCCTGCCCAGCACAGCTGCAATTTCAGCAGTATGACCTCGATACTGGTGACCTCTGCCTGTTCAAGGACAGTAACATTTGAGAAAAGAATTGCACAAATGAAATAAGGAGTGATTTTAACATGGGCTGGAAGAAGAGTTGTATCAGGTCCTAAAACTGTTAGTAAATATGGTTCTTCCAACTGTGAAGTCACAGGCTAGTCTATTTTGTTCTTCATTAAGCCTCATCTCCTATGGTTATGTGATTCTTTGAGAATATTGCCCTTTAAACTTGTTTAAATGAGTGATATTTGGTAATCATGATCCAAATAAAGCCTGAAGGCTCATGGGTTTTGAGAGTTCAGAGCTGGTGATACTCATACCAGTTTTGAGAACAGTATCCGATATTTTGGTGCCACTGCCTATACTCTTTAGCTTTAAATCTCTCAGAGATCTGACTGTAAGAATTCCTTAGTGCCTGTAGCTCCTGCTATCTTTGTCAGAGACCTCAGATGACAAGCATTTATGAAAATCAAGCCAGTATTTTCAGAATTGTGGCAGTTAGTAGTACTCAGAAAGCAAGCGAATTACCAACCCTGGTTTCTGGTCACTTGAAAGGAGACATACTTTGTAATAAGAAGGGAAGAACAAAATATATACAACCAGGAGTTGCAGTCTTTTTCTCTACTGTTTTCAGCTTTTCCCCCAATTTCCCATCCCTGCAGCTAATCTTTACCTTCTTTCTGCAGGAAATTGCCAAAAACATTAGGAGCGGTGGAAAGAAATTAGACCAACTTGAAAATGAGTGTGCAAATGTGACTGAGAATACCTCCCCACTTGGAGCTGAGAGAATGAAGGATGAACTTGAAATGCTAAGAAAAGCCTTGGAGAAGTTGAAATTGCTGCATAGTGAGGAGGAGGAGAGATTGCTCAAGATCCAGGAGTCAGAAAGCGCCTATGAGTCCCAAGCCAGACAGTTAGAAGAAGACATCAAGGTGTTGAGAAAATATCTACAGAAATTAGAAAATCACCTAGAGCCTGGGGAAGGGGAAAAGACTGAAGATGAGTTTGTAACCCTGTGGAGAAAATGCAATGTAAGTTGTTGTCCTTTGTATGCCTAAAACAAGCAGGATCAAACGCAGCCATAGATTGAGCATGAGTAGTCACATCCAACAGCAAGTGCCTGTGCCATTGATTAAAGGTGGTAAGGAAAGAGTATGATTGTGTATGAAACAGAACAAGGAAAATGTGAATAGCAACAGTGGAATCAACTATTGTAGCATTTATCTCACTCAGCACAGAGGGAGCAGGGTTGGAATGTGTTGGAGTTTGTCTTGAGTTTGAAGGGACCGCATGCAAAAAGAGCACAGTACAGAGCAAACAATATAATTTGCCCTACTTAAAAAAAAAGGCAAGAAAATAATGTCTGACCATATATACAAATTCACATACACATATACATCTATTTTGGGGTATTTGGCAAGACCATTTCTATATTCTGCTTTCATCTGTGTAAGGTATGTTCCTGCAGAGATATCTTTAGTCCTACAAAGTCCCAAGTTTATAGTAATCCATTATTTATACTAAAATCAATCTGTTGCAAAAATGAGTGCAAAAAGTTTGTCATGCATAATGTAGATAAGAATTTTTGCCACTCATTTCCTCTTGAGGACTGTTTTTGTATTTATTATCTCTTCTCAAAATGCCTTTCATTGCAATTTTTTATGTCTAGAACTCAGGAGGGCTAGCTAGGAAAAGTATATGCAAAAAAGGATCCACAAAAAGCTGACTGGTTCAGTCCAGCTATATTTACATAGTTTTTTTGTTGATTTCTTGACCTAAAGCACCCTAAAATTAACATGCTGTATATATGAGTCTGAGAAAGACCTATTCATGCAAACAGATGCACTTAAGTCTGCTCCAAAAACGTGTCTCATGTTTTATACTGCAGTCAGTGAGCTGAGACTGCACCTCTTTGTGATTCATTCAGTGAAACTTGCAGATCAGATGCAGAGGCTAGGCACTGTGAAGAGAGGAGAGAGAGCTTGCAGGAACAAAACTGTTTCAGAGAATGTTTTCTGCTTTAACAAAGTCTGTGTTTCATACAACCAGAAAAAAAAGGCAGAACGGGTATGTGTGAATACCCTGAGAGACAGCCTTATCTCTTATCTCTCACATGTGCTAGAGACTAAATGAGGTGTAATAGAATAGTTAGGGTTGGAAAGGACCTTAAGATCATCTAGTTCCAACCCCCCTGCCATGGGCAGGGACACCTCACACTAAACCATCTCACCCAAGGCTCTGTCCAGCCTGGCCTGGAACACCACCAGGGATGGAGCATTCACAGTTTTCCCTGGGCAATCCGTTCCAGTGCCTCACCAGCTTTTACAGTAAAGGACTTCTTCCTTATATCCAGTCTAAACTTCCCCTGTTTAAGTTTGATCCCATTACCCCTTGTCCTGTCACTACAGTCCCTAATGAATAGTCCCTTTCCAGCATCGTTAATAACCCCCTTTCAGATACTGGAAGGCTGCTATGAGGTCTCCACGCAGCCTTCTCTTCTCCAGGCTGAACAGCCCCAACTCTCTCAACCTGTCTTCATACTGGAGGTGCTCCAGTCCCCTGATCATCTTCATAGCCCTCCTCTAGACTTGTTCCAACAGTTGCATGTCCTTTTTATGTTGAGGACACCAGAACTGCACAGAATACTCAAAGTGAGGTGTCACAAGAGCAGAGTTGAGTGGCAGGATCACCTCCTTCGACCTGCTGGTCATGTTCCTTTTGCAGCCCCGGATACAGCTGGCTTTCTGGGCTGCGAGCGCACACTGCTGGCTCATGTTAAATTTCTCATTGACCATTAATCTATTAATTGTTTTTATGATTAAGGCAACAAGAGCAGCTCTGGCTGCTGAAGAGTCCAATGTCGAGAGACTGAAGGCTCAGCTTAAGGAACTGCTACGGTTTTCCCAAGATGTGCAGCCACACACTGAGAGTGTTGTCTCTGCAATACAGCAGTATCAAAGGTAATGGGAAGTCTGATTATGCTGGGGGGGGGGGGGGGGGGGGAGGAATTGCCTCTCAGACACTGAAAGAATTAACAAGGACCTAAGAAAAAAGTAATGTGCCATCCAATTGTAGGTGACTGGTAGAAAAGAAAGGCTTCTGCTAATTGCATCCGCCTCCACATTGCAGTAAACCTGTAATTTTAGTCATTTTCTAGGAGCTGTAGGCTGTTGGCTATTCTCAAGCAATGATCTTGCATCATTAATGTTGTGTATGGTTTGAAGAAAATCAGATTGTTGGCAGCTAATTTGATCATCTTAGCATTTTATAATAATAATTTATGTATTTTGCTTGCCTTTTATGACAGCAACTAGAAATTCAGGACAAGAGCCGTAGTAGTAAATGGTTCAGAAGAATTATGACACTCCCTTGTTGACTTTATGGTAGTGATTCATCAGCCTTAACAATTATTTGGCAGAGTTTATTCTCTTTCTCCTGCCAGCATATGTGCATGATTCCTGTTTTCAACTTGCCTTGGGTTGGAAACTCTGAAAGTTTAGCCTCTCCCCAGACTTAAGCATTTCCGTTTCCAGGCTGCCTGGAATCAGGAAGTAAGGAAGCTGCAGCAAATTTTGTAAACTAGAAGGAAGGAGCTTTTTTTTAAGGAAAAAGAAAGGTCAGTTTTTTTTGCTGTATCCAAGCTTATCTTCCTCTGTTGAGTGCACAGTATACTGTCCTGCTGGAAGGGGATTATAGGTCGTTACGGGAAAGAATTTCAGTTTAAAAACTAACAAGTAGATGATGTTGAATGAGAAGCAGAGAAGGCAGAGGACTTGCCTCTGAGTAGGAAATGGCAGCTGCTCTTTTGCCAGCTCCTTTAAAGCTTCTTTGCGAAGTCTGGCAGCTTCACGCTGAGCCTCGCAGGGGCAGCAGAGCAAATGGCAAAGAACATGTAATGTTAGAACTTTCTATTTGCGGAGCTTTTGGCCTCTGCAAGCTTGCCTTTGTTTACCTCCATGACATCTCACTGACACAGGTAAGATTATTGAGTTTGATTTTATAGAAAGGCATTATTAACCTTGATTGGCATTGCTTTTGCCAGCCTGTTTTGTGAATCTGCGTGATACTGTTCGCATGTGAGCATATAGTTTGGATTGCATTCTGCCATATCAAATAGGATTCCGTAAACTGGGAAGTCAGGAAAGCTGAGAAAACCAGGAGGCAACTACATGGGGTGTGCCACTGCTAGGCCTTGTTACTCATCTGTATTTTGGATAAGCCTTTATAGGAGAAGCTTGGATGTTTAGTGAATGCGCACTGATTTTTATTTTATTTTATTTTTCAACATTTGTGCACGCATAGCTGTGCATGCATGTGTAAACATATATATATATATGCAAATACAAAGCTTGTTATCAGAATCACCCATAATATATTAATATAAATACTACTGGTTCAGCAAAATTTTTAAAAATTATATCTGGAAAAAGTATGTATTTTCCTCTTTTTGTAGGTATCATAGGGTGAGCAAAGATTTCTTAATGAAATTTTGTAAAGGAATAAAAACTTGATAATATGTAAAACAATGCAGGCAACTAAAGTTAAATTCTAGACCCTCTTGGCTTGTTCCTCCCATCAGTCAGTGAGGCCACTCTGATAGTATAATTTGTTTAATCACGCTGGTGATGACGAGCAACCAAGAAAGATCACATGAGGGGAGACTGCTGTCTGCTAGAAAGGCAAAGTAATTCCTGATACACAGTTGCACAAGAGACAAATGCATCTTATGCTGTCTAAATGAAGTTTTGTTGTATGTCTCTGACTTAGCACCTGTCAGTACACGACACCAGGCTTAGACAATAAAAAGACTGAGGCTTTTGCATTGGATACAGTTTACACACGAGCATTGTGGTTAATTCATGCCTTGATGAATAGGATGTTTGGACTTGGATTTCTCTGTAATCCTTCTCTCAGCTCTCACTTTCCCCTTGCAGTGTTAGAGGCAAGACATCTAAAATGAGCACTGATACAGAAACTGAACTGAGAAGACTCTTCCAAAATCCCCTGCTAGATTTTGAACGGTGGAAGCCATCAGTCCAGATGCTCCTGGAGACTCCAGAGCCAGCACTGGCTTGCATTGAGGTAGCAAACCTATCACTAAGTTCAGAAACTGATTCTTGGTTTGTGTTTGCCCAAGCTCTGCCAGCAGCTGCCTGCATACAGCTGCTGGACAGAAGCAGCTGGAAGGGCCTTTCCAATATGGCAGGAGCCCCAAAAGTATGGAAGTCAATACTTAGCTCTAGCTGTAGCAGAATGCCTTACTTTCTTCCCTTTAGTTAACTGGAGTTGTCAACTGAATAGGCTGAATTAAAGTGTTAGATACCTTTAACGATGATAATATTGTTTAGCATTAGCCCAGATCTCCCTGGAAGGGAAATCTGTGGCCTCTGTTAAGAACTGTGTAGTAATACAGTCGTGGGATTATAATGCATGATTTCTGCATGTGCCTAGCAAGGTGCTTTTGTTACTTTGTCATCCCTGTGATCTCCAGATTAAATGTGTCTGTGAACAGGGATGGAGTTTATCCTTGGGATAAGCATTCAAGCTGTCCTTTCTGTTGGTTGTTTAGGCCTCTCCTCTGCACAGAAAACTCTTTCCATAGTACAGATTTCCTCTATTTCTGTTCACAAAATGGATGCAGCCCTGGTGCTTCTAACATTATCAGGAAGACTTTTCCTTTAGCTGGGCACTGTCCAGGTACCTTCTGTTACCCTTTGTTGGCCCAGCATGCTGTTTTTTACCCAACTATGTTGTACTGCTTTGGTTGTGTGACTTGTGTGAGAATAATATAGTTGTATGATTTTTAATGTTTTTGGTATGATTTCACTGGAAGAATCTTTCTCCTTTAGGCTGGTCTAGCTGAAAGCTCCCGCTTCAAAGAGAAGTTCATGACATTACAGCTGAAGAAGGATTTACTAAACAATGTCCTTGGTGAGGAAAAAGCAAAGACTTTCCTGCAAGAAGTAGCTGAAGCTTCAAAGAAGAGAGAAATTATACATGAAAGTCTGATGCAGAGCAAGAAGACAATCCAGGTGAGCTTTAAAGCCCATATATGGTCTTCTCTTGTGACAATGATAAATCTTTTACTCAGCCAGTTACATCAATATAAATTTAGTACTAACCAGCTGTGCTGAGTCTGTTTTTCTAGGTTGATCAAATATTCAAATAATTTTGTGGTCTGTTAATAGCGTAGCTTGGTGTTTGTTCTGAGTATGAAGTGGACATTGACGAAAGATAATGCCAAAGGATATATGTTGAATGCTGTATCTTTTTTCTTCTTTCTCCATCTACAATTTGCTATCTCAACATAAGCACTTTGATGCTGGTTTCGCACCTTTGCAGAAGAAATTATCTGCCATTAAAGCTAAGTTGGATCTAGAGAAGGAACTGAAACCTGACCTCCTGGGTAAAAAGACACAACTCCAGAGACTTCAGGTACATTACAGTAATGTTTGACTGTGATATCCTCAGTTAATTGTGGTCCTGTTTGTCCATATTTTATTAGCATTAGGAATTCATATCTTGTCTCCTCTATTTCATTTGATCTATTTCATAGTATGGAGTAAATGAAATTGAAGCATTGCAGCTGAAGAATTGGCAAATTGTGCTTGTGGGAAGGAGCAAGCAGCTGGAAGCTGTTGGTCCTACACCTTTCTGGGCTAGTTTGATTGCTAAAATAAATTGTATCCTGATACTTCCCACTGGGAGTGAAATTGCAAAGATAACCTGAACCAATCTAACTTCCTTCAAAAGCAGGGAGTTCCCATTGGCCTACCTCCTTCTGTATTCCTCCCCCTTCCTGCTCTTTACCTCATCACAGCTTTGACATATTCTGGGTTTACTCCACAGGCTGATTGAGCTGGCCAAGATCAGAAAAAAAAAAAACTTATAATTTTCTGCTTGGTTAGTGTTTTGAACTGATTCAGCAAAGGGTCCAACGTGCAATAGAGCCAATTCAAGGCATGCAGTGGGACTACATAGCTGGAAGAAGGCAGAGAAGAACAGGAGGGGAAGAGAGAAGGGATGTGACTCTTCCCTTTTGGCCTGGTGAGCTATGGTGATTCAGCTGTATGGTGCCACTTCACCTGTGGTGACCATAGAGGTGTTATCACCATAGCTCTTAGTAGTACTTAGCTGATTATACTCTGTCTCCTCTGGTGGCTTTCCAGCAACTTACCTTCTTTGTTATCAACTGGTAATGTTGGAAGGACATCCAACCATTTCTTTTGGAAACATTTACTCCTAGGCACCAAATAGTAAGTTTTCTTAATGACAGTGATTATTCCTGTTTTTTTTTTTTTGTTTTCATACTGTCAAGTGAAACTACCTTTTATTATACATTTTGTGAAAGTCCATACCATACCTAGCATATCACCCATATGGAATCTTCCTCTGCAGATGATCCAAGATGACTTGGCAGAGCTTGTGGCACAAATGGAGGAGGTAGAGAAGCTTGTTCGGTCAAATACCACCCACAAGCATAAAATGAACCAACTTTCATCTGACTCCCAGGCCCTGAAGATAGCACTGAAGGTAACATAAGGAAGAGGTTTTCATGGCCTGAGGAGTTTTCAGTTGCCACTATTTAAAAATATTTAAAAATCTGTAAGCATATGGGGTTATATCCTTTAAGTGACAATATTTTCATTTCAGAGAAGAAGGTATTGAATTCAAGACATTGATAACTCTTCCAGGATTCTCTGAATATCTGTAATGTGATTGCCTTTGGGACAGGATACCATCCACACAGTTCTTACGTCTATATAAATCATATCTGGAGTGGGCCTGGGATTTCTGATCTAAAGACCTTATAGTTACATTATCATGGAGGTGCTCGGCTTATTCACAGATTCCTGGAGAGTGGTTTTATACCAAACTGTTTGGTTTTCATAGTTTCGTGACCTAAAAAGTTAAGAACAGCGTTGCAGTTGTGCAAGTACTAGTTTTGACCTGAAGCATTTTGTAGTTTATAGACATAGCTATAAAAGGACAGCCCATTCCAAAGCAGTCTCAAAAGAAAAGCTTATAAAATTGCCTTAGTTGTGCAGGTCACCATGGAAATATGTATGATAAAGTGTTACCCTAATACACACTGTGAAATTCTAGTTTCAATCTCAATAATCCTATTTATTGCTGAACTGGACTTTTGCAAAAAAATTCTGTGCAGTAACTTCTGATTCAGGAAATTTCTGATTCCGGAAGTATAAGATATATTTAATACTGACTGGAGTATTAAAAAACCCAAACATAATCTTTTTTCTGTTTCAGCTGAGAAGGGAGCTATTTTAGTGCTTAATGCCCCCTCCCCCCCCCCCCCCCCCCCCCCAATGTGGCTGAATTCAGGCCTGCAGGCTCCTGTAGGTGTTTTCTATGCCACTGATGTTAAAGGACAAAGTTTTCTGTGTCTCATTAACAGATCGGTTTGTTTTTCTTTTTCCCTTCTTGCTCATGAAATTCTCAGTAGTTACTTATTAGATCCAGTAATGAAATTGGGGATTTTTTTGTCTGTTCAGTTACTGACAAATTTTTACTGTTTGTAGATGATGATACAACGGAGTGAAGAGCGCATTCAGAAGCACTATGCATATAAAGACAAACTCTCTGACCTTCAGCAGTGGATCATACTAACAACGGAGATGATTGAGCCCTACCAGGGTGCTGAAGGAGACCAGAACACTGAGGGCCAGGTGGCAGACCTTAAGGTGAGAACGACATCTTGGTGTAAGACGTTAATTATTCACCTTGCAGCATTCAGACATTAAGGGCAGGGTTTTTCTGGTGAGGGTTTCCTGGCTGGGGAGAGCAATGGTGGCTTGTTCCTCCTGCAATGATCGTTGTTTACTGCCGCCTTCCTGCTTTGCCTAGCTCCACATTCCTCACACTGTTGTGGGATGCGGAGCTAGGTAAAAACAAGAACAGTGAGAAATGGCTAAGAACTATTGAGATGGATGAAGTGTTATCAAAGGATAGCTGGTTTTAAAGGGAGCTCTTCTGCCAGGGTGATCTCTCGGGAGAACACCTACCTTGGCCTGTATGCACTCATCAATACCTTGAATGTTATTACCCTGTTAGCTAACATTATACTGTATTGAACTGAGCTATTGCACAGCTGATACTGCCACACAGCAAAAAGCTATTTTGCATGCTCAATTCACTCTGATGGGTTACTTCAGCTGGCAGCTTTTTCCTTCACAAGGGACAGACAAGATATTTCATGGGAAGGCTACTGAAGGGGTGCATTGACAGCTTGTACCCTTTAAGTTTTGCCATCAGCTCTTTGACCTATGTTGGCTCTTTGCAAGAATCCACAGCATATTTTTTTTCCCCTGCTAGGCATGTTCTAGCTAGTGCCAACAGAACCAGCATAGTCCTGGACTGAACATGGCCTTCAGTCTGACATAGCCTCTGCTTTACCCAGGATACCTAGAAGTAACTGTAAGGGCTGTACATTTCAGAAATGGCTAGCTGACTTACCAGATAAGGAGCTCCAGCTGTGCCTTGTGAAAGCTTATGGAAAACTAGTCATGGAGAATTCTTCCCCAGAGGAGACTGCCCATGTCCAGGCAGAGCTGGATCAGCTGGAGGAATCATGGAGACTGCTGAAGGAGATGGAAACTCGGTAAGTGTTCATGTGACATTTCCTCATGTCTCTTCAAGGGATATGAGGATGATATGTTGGTAAGATATGTATGCTGCTATATGACCAGGCACAGTTGATGCTTTATGCTGTGTGCTGTGAAAATGAGCAGCCATGTTAGAATGTTAGGAGCAAGATGAAATTTTATTTAATTATTTTGTAAACTGGAAGTCATTACTCTTAAGAAAACCATTTTAAAGAATCCAGGGGGCAGAGCAGTCTGTGAAGCTGCCTTTACTTCATGCTTGGTGTAGGCAATGCCTCCTTGAGACCTGGCTAACCCTGGTACTTACCAGTTTATGTCAGAGGAAATAGGACATAGACAGTTGACTTCTGCTAATCTGTTCTCCTAACTCTCTGATCTGGAGGTATTTCCAAAGAGGCTGTATCTACACTGTGATTTGTTCTTTTTTCAAACCTGCAGGAGGATAAACAGAGCTCAAATCCTCTCTGACCTGGCAAATTTATTATAATAAATATATTTATATTTAGATTTATATAGTTACATTTATAGATTCTGTGATTCTGTATATTTATATAATAAATTCTGGTTTTTATATAAAATGTAATATATTTATTGAGCTTAATTTATTTTGACCTCACTGTGCAATGCCAAACTGCTACTGTATTAAAATTTAATACTGTGCTACATGTGTAATTATATTCATACATAGTATCAAAATAGGCATAAAAATAGAGTGACTGAGGAAGGCTTCATTGTACTGCCTGTTGTTACCAGATGTGAAGATACATTGTTAAGGTTGTATTTTTTTAATTCCCTCACTCCACTGAATGAAAGCAAACAAAACACTTGGAAATATCAGAACATGTGGACTGGTGCTGCTTTGAGATACTCCTGTCTTGATCTTACTTTGTTAAAAATACGTTGGAAATAACTTTAATAGTCATAGTGCTATTAATAACAATAATAGTGCTATTTCACCTTAGGTGTCCCCCACAGACCCAGTCAAAATGTGATGTTTCATCATGTTTAACTACATCGGTGTCTCCCATTTTGTGTTTTCAAGTCTTCTCAAGAAGTGGCAGTTAAGTAAACCAGTGGTTGATAATAAGAAGAAAATAGAATTTGCAGACACTAGATGGATGTCTGGACCTGTGTTCCATCATTCAGGTGTAGATCCCAACCATAAGCAGGTGAGAGGGCACTCTATATCTGACTTCATATCAGCCTCACAAGAACAATTTTATTGGTTTCCTATGATACTATGGGTTACAGTGTTGGAGGTTAAGATCTTGCAATCAGGCCTTCAGAGGAAACATCTGACTTAACAGTAAGGCCTTTTTTGTTCCTGTTTTTCTGTAACCTAGGAGAGGATTGAAGAAGGGCAACATACAAGCAGCTACTTGAAGCTTCTACAAGAATTTGAAGAGTGGTTACAAGGAGAAAAAAAGAAACTGACCAAAATTCTTGATGTGGCTTCATCTTCCACAGAGGAAATTAAAGCACGCAAGAGCAAACTGGAGGTTAGTTTTCAGGGAATTAAGATGGAGACAAAGATGGAAACAGTTCTTTCAGAATTAAAACAAACCCAAAAATCACACATCCCACCAATAAACCAACAAAAAAAACCCAACAAACTCCCCTTCCCCCTCCAAAACAAGGAGGACAAAAAAAAGCCTACCACCACCAAAAAACCTCCAAACCAGACAAAAGACCAAACAAAAACTCAAACACTACACTCTTTGGTTTAGGATACTTTAGAGTAGATGAAGCTCAGGAATTTAGGACAAGTATTTCACCCCTTCTAGTAAGAAAGATCTGTTAGAGCTGGAGTGGTAGGAAGGGAGCAGCCTGACATCTAGCTGTTGGACTGGACATTTCCAGCATGATATGGCAAAAGGTGTTCATTAAAACAATCTGATCAAAATCGATGTCTGGTATTTGGCCTCACATGTTCTCTTTTTGTTGAATGTAGCCAGATGCAATGATAATGGATGCTGTAAGCAATTAAACAAACACAAATCCACTTCCTGCAGGGGAGTGGAGCTTTTGATACCGTTTCAGGCCAAAAAATTAATAACAAAAAAAAATACACTAGTCCAGAGTGCCCAGTTGTTTGATTTAGTACCACTGTTCTTTTGAACACCAGATTTTAAAAGTGGGGCCTTCTTGAATTCTGGGTTTCTGCTGATCTTGTCTTTGCCTGCAGGAGCTGCAGTCTCGCGTGCCTGATGGTCAGCATCTCTTTGAGGAGCTTCTTCATAGTCAGCCTGTCACTGAATATTCTGAAGATCTGGAGGACCTCCGTTACCAGTGGATGCTCTACAAATCTATACTGAAAGAGTCCATGAGTACCCTGGTAGGTTACAGCACTCGATTCACAGTTGCTGATCTTCGCCATTGCCCTTTTAGGTTGCTTCATGCTGCTAGTCGTAATTTAAGAGTATGTGTGTCTGTGTCTGCATAATTAAAACCCTTTCTAGTAAATGCTATCAAAGACAGAACAAATATAGCCATAGTATTCTCCACCAAATTATAATTTTTATTTAATGGTTCCTCCAGTAAGAATATATTCACTGTTCATTATTTTTGTCATCTACTGGAAGACAGTGTGATCAGAATAGTCACTAGCTGAACTGACTCAGAAAGTAACTATGCACAGAAGGACCTAGTCCTTTTTGAAACTGTCTTTATGGGCCAAGGATTTGACGTGAAATAAAGAATAGGTATTTTAATGCAAGAACCAAATGATTAAAAGAAGTTACTGAGCTGTGTACAAGACATGCTAAGTGTGGCAGAATTCATCCCCGTATATAAGGTGTTCCAGGGCATGCTAAAGATAATTTCCTTGTTCTTAGTGTAAACATACATAATAAAGTACTTGAATATGTGTTAAACTTCAAGATACCATAATCTTGAGGAATAGACTTTACAGGTATGCATTTGGTACTTTCAGTATGGAAGGTATCGGAACTCAGGCACCTAAAACTCTACATTCCTGAAAATTTTCTGCTTTGGGAAACCTTATCTTCAAATCCAAAGCTTATTTAGAATACAAATCCTTGAAAATGTACGTGAAGATAAGCATGACCTCTGTTAATAAGGAGCATATTGAAGAACTGTTTGCAGTTGATTGTAATGCATTTTGCTTTGTTGACCAAAACCTTGTGTAAGCATAAATGCAGTCAATAGGCGTCAGTAAAGGCAAAGCTATTGCTGGTAGAACTGCTCATGTGATTCAAATGGGCAGGAACCTGAAAACATCAGCTTTTTGCCTAATGTGTGTTAAGAAGTTCATTAAAAAAAAACAAACAAAAAAAAAAAACAAAACCCCAAAAAAACCCAGACGAAACTCTTCTGCTGGTTCACCCTGTCCAGATGACCATGAATTTTAAAGAAGCATCCTGTGTGAGGTGAGTACTCATTTATAGGCTCCACTGGGATCTTAAGTTCATGCTGCTTTTGGTTTTCTCTTTCTTTCTCTTTTTTTAAACAGAGTCCTGGAACTTCTGAAGAACCAGACAGATTCAGAAAGGTATGACAGTTTCCTATCGTTAAGCTAAAATGTTTTATCAGGCATCTTGCAGATAATTAGTTTAACTTAAACTTTTCTAAAGTTTCTTGAGATTAATTTGCTTGCTAAGTGCCTCTTCTAAAGAAGCAATTTATTTCCCTCATATTTTAGATGGAAACATATTACACCATTTTAACTCTTGAGCTACGTTTACTGTAGCTATAGAAGCTAAATACCCATCTCGAGTCGGGGAACTCCGTTTTTATACATCTATATGCTATATGAACTAAATTAATTTTTCAGAAGAGACTTAAGGAACAGCCCAGGTCTGCTTCTAAAGGATTTAGGGGTCAACTGCCTAAAATAATTTTGAAAATGGGACTTCAGATACTTCTGAAAAAATTGTGTTGGATCATTCAGCCCACCTTCTAATGCAGAAAACCAGAAACAGTCAAAAGATTTGTCTAATGTTATTAGACTAAATACTTTTAAGCAGCAGAATTCCTCCTGTGAAGGATTTTCTTTTGGAAGTGATCACATAAGAAACGGATGCAGTACAGGAGATGATAAAGAAAAGCTTAAAGAAACCAAAATGCTACCAGTTTCTTATTAAACCCAAGCAGCTTTTCTGATTCCATTTTTATGTCAGCAAGTTTACTGTTGACCTGAGCAGTGTTGAACTGAGTCTTTTCTCTCTGTCACAATTTGTTTTGTTTATAGATACTGTTAGCTTCTACTTTGTACTGTCATCTCACTTTCCATTTGTTTTCAGGAGGAATAGAATAAGGCATTATTTACCCAACACAAAGTAGATTGGGTGAATAATGTGTTGCAGGAATATAATCACTTAATCATCTTAAGCTAAATCAAACCCTTGATTTCTCCTGTTGCAACATCTCTTTAGAAGAGACCAGTATTTAAAGGATGCAGCACAGTGTACTTGTAGTATAGCCAGAAATCAGACTTCCCTTATTTCAATGAGATATTCCTCTGGCACTCAAATGTGGAATAGCATCTCCAGTATTTTTCCCCATGAAATACTGACCAATTTCAGTTTATATTCTTGTTTGTCTGGCCTAGCATTGATTGTTTGGTACCCCTGGTGGTCATCCACTAAAGTCACCAGAATTTTTCAGGCTGGAAAAACAGTATGACATTTAGTAATTGGTGTAGAGGCAGCCAAACATTTAGTAGTGATGCTTTTCCCTCAAAGAAGGATAGTCCAGACGACCGACCAAGGAATTCTCTGCTTTCATATGATTTGGTTGGGTCAGGTTGTTTGTAGGGAAAATAATAGAGAAGCTTAAGGCAGAAGCACATCTCCACTGCACATTTAGATACCATTTTTTAATTCATCTGTCCTACTGCCTTGGGGCAGGTGGTATTTATTCCTTCTTAACTTCTCTGAAAGCAACTAAAGTCTTCCATTAATTTTCGAGGATACTGGAATAACATAATGGCAAGCAGCAACCTCTTGACAATTAGGCCTACAGCAAGAGCCCCTAAAAAAAAGTGTTCTGTGAATTTTTAACAGCTACTGAACATAAACAAAGAGAAACAGCTTGGGGTGGGAATGAACTGAAATACCTTGTAAGCATGATGGAAACAGCTCTTATTGTACCAGCAAGTGATTTTCAGTTTCCCTTCAGCCAGTACACATTACAGTCACTTACACCTTGCTCGCTTCAGGATGATTTTGCTTGAAGCATTCATTCTGTGTTTAAGTGTCACAACAATGAGAATCCAAGTGCTATAAGCAGAGGTGTCTTTTTTTTCATTCAGGCTAAGGGGTTTATCAGGATGTGAGTGTGTACTGCGATAAGATCGTAGATCACCACTTAAGAGAACCAGAAAATAACGTTCACTGTTCAGGCTGAGAGAAGAGGAAAAGCAAATCAGCTGCAGAATTTGTGGCTCTGCAGTTCATTTTAAGTTTATATTTAACACCTGAAGTGCAGCCAGAAGTGAAAGAAAGATTAGGCAAAATATTTTTTTGTATGTTTTGAATCTCCTTTCAAAACCATAGTGAAGGACATCAACTACCCTGAGAGAATGGGTGATATCAGGAATTAATATCTGCAGAAAATACACATGGTTGGGGGCTGCATCACTGTAGTTGCAACATGAAGTCAGTTCACATGCAGTGGGATCTCTTACTTTGTCAGCTCCCTCCTGCTTTTGGGTCACACAAATTTAGCAGAGGTTGCAGAATCACACGTAATTTTGGACTGACCTCAGCTTTCTGCAGCACGAGGTCCCCGGTGACTCTGCTTGTTTCCTGTTAGAGCTGTGAAGATTTTGCAGCAGCAGCAGATCAACAGGGAGAAGAGGAAGACCCAGCTGTGGCCAGTCTCAGCCTTCCACTTTTGTTCCATTTCTAGCCTGGATGGCTAAATGTTGGGCAGAGGAGTGTTTGCTCCATGTATAGTAATGTGCTTTTTTTCTGATCTTTCATCCTTTGCTGAGGACATGCACCTAGCCACTGGTGCTCTTGGGAGTGGTACAGGCTAATGATTGTGATGTGAGCAACTTCTTGTTGATTAACAAAAAACAGTTGCAGGAAATTGCACTGGCTGCAGTGAATTTTTAGCAGGTACCAGTGACAGTGCAGTGTAGATGGATATTTATTCAGGGCACCTAGCACACCCAAGAACATAATCAACAAAATAATAACTCTGATAAATGTTACTTTCAAAGGTTGGCTCCCAGCTACCTGAAAATATTCCATGAGCATTCTTAGTATAAATAGGAAGTCAAAGATTCATTATTTACAGGTCTAGGTAGCACTGTTTGATTTTATTTCTTGAGTGCTCAGAGTAATTACACTTCCTTGCTAAACAAATGATTCTGGCTTTATTGTTTGTACAAACAAAGTAATTAGGATTCATTACATCAATGGTCAGCTAATTGCTTCATTTCAAATTCTGCTAAAAGTAATCTCCTATAGCACGCAGACAGAAGGAGCATATAATTTAATCTTACTTAGAGACACCATTGATCTGGAGTCTATCAAATTAATGCAGTCATTCAGGAAACTGTGCAAAGCAAGAGCTGCCACAGCTTGCCAGGAAGAAAACAATATGTTCTGCTCTTCCCAAGTGCAGATACGACAGGAATTCTTCATGGCAGAAATTCACATTACAGAAATGCACAGCATTGTGTGTACATGCCTGTGTTTGTGGTGCCTCTCTATTAAAAGTATGTGGCCCATTTGTTTTCCTGAAGTCCTGCTGGGTGTTAGCCACTTGCAATCTTCTCAGTAAAATGGAAAAGACCCATTAAAAAGTATCCTTTCCTCAGTTTTCAGTATCTCATTTGTAGATAGATTATTTCTCCGTACGCTTTTCATCATTGTGCCTATAAGCCTGTGCCTACCTGCATTAGGAATTATGTCGTGGCCCAAAGAAAGAAAGAAGGGCATCTTGCCCTTAAGTATGAGCAAACAGACTTCCTTGCCCTCAGCAGAAAGAAAACTTGGGGAAAAAAAAAGTAAAAAACTGAAATAGCCTGACTGCCTCTTCTTAACTCTGACTCACTGGTCATGTGCCAGACAGTATTTTGCCCTTCTTTCTCCAGCTGGCCCATGAGCTTCCTTTCATGTTGCTGCACCTGTGAGACTGCCTGCTGCCTGTCTGCTCCTATTTCTGTAGGTTTCATGTTACTTACCAATCCACATTACAGATTTCCCAAATAGTAGAAAACAGGCACTCTTTGTCTTTTATCTGGTTCCACCACTTCTGCACCTTGGCAATGTTCTTCCTCTACAGCAGTGCTAGTGCAAGATGAAGACGACCTCTTGCTTCCCAGGATGCCTGGTTCTTACTTTCTGTTAATGTGGTATTAGCTAGGTAATGTGGTTGATAGTCCCTGCTTTGTTTGTTGAAAAGATGTGTCCTTCAGTAGCCTACGATGTTGTGAAGTATTTGCAGATTTTCACCAAGGAGATACCTTAGACTTGTTTTCTCAGCAGGTACAATGTTACCTTCTAACTGAAAGGTAATGAGAGGTATTTGCTGACAATAGCAGAACAAAACCGATTTCCAGTCTATACTTGAAAAATGTTTTTAACACTACTGTAAAAAGCATGGTAGGAAAAAATCTTGTAGTCAGCAGCCCATATTGTATATGTATTAGTCTTTAAAAATGTGATGGCTTACTTTTAAAATTATTTAAACAAAATGCAAATAGCACTCAAATTATGTACAGTGAGTAAGGAAAGTTAAACCTTGGCTCAAGAGGAATTGCTGGTAAAGCAGCTGGAAACATACATTGCTGATGTGATGAACCAGCTTTTGATATCAGTAGCTTCTTCTACAGGTTCCAGAGCATGTTGTCTATATTTCAGATTTTATTCCTTCTATGCCAAATTTAATTAGTTAATTTAAAATTGCAAGGCTGAGTGGAAGTTGGAAACTGGGAGAAGTTGTTTTCCTTCCCTGCCTTCCTGAATAAAGGTAGAACACTGATGTCTTCTGCTAAATTTCAGATACACTGAAATGTCATCCAGCTACTTTGGTGTCCCTGCCCATGGCAGGGGGGTTGGAACTAGATGATCTTAAGGTCCTTTCCAACCCTAACTATTCTATGATTCTATACTAACTGCTGATAACTCTCCTTCTAAAAGTAGTACAGCATTGCCTTTAAATACAAAATACATTTATTGGGATAAATTGTATTGCTTATCAGTGTATTAAATCTGGTGGAGTACTCTTATGTTTTTAATAGAACCAGGTTAATTTCAATGAGCCTCTCACAGCTGCTCACTCACTCCATCTGCCCCTGCAGTGAGATGGGGGAGAACTGGAAGGGTAAAAGTGAGAAAATCTGTGGCTTGAGATAAAAGCGGTTTAATAAGTAAAAGAAGAAAATGGAAAAGCAAAACAAAGAAAAACAAGTGATACAAAAACCCCCAGTATCTCACCACCAGCAAAATGATGGCCAGCCAGTTCCCAAGTAATGAGCTTCCTAGTAAAACTCTCCTACACCTAGTTTTTGTTGCTGAGTCTGTTGTCATATGGTAG